CTTGTGAAAGCGAAGAAGATACCTGGGAAGATTCTGAAGGCAATTCATCTTTAGCAAATTATTATCAGCGGAAGAAAATGTAAACTGCTTCAATTCATGTTCTCATATTTCTTGTGTTTTGTGTAATAAGTGTGTGTGAGTGACTCTGAGGATCGCGACAAGGAAATTAGGACCCCAAGCTCGGGAAATGCAATCACTTTTTTTCTTTTGTTTCGTACGTAAAGGGACAAATATTTGAAAAAGAAGCTATAACTTTTTCTTTTGATCAAAAACACCCCCTCTCTAATTAAATTCGTTGCTCATGTGGCACTCGTTATACTTCATAATCAGCCAATCAGAGGATTAATATTCGTTAGATATTTACTTAATCCAAGTACTATTTCTGATATTTTTCGTTTTTTTTTTTTTTGGAAGCTAATAATGGGACCATTCACGTGACGTCATCATGTCTCTTATTGCTACCGATCTACTTTCATGTGGCTTGAACTTGAAGTTCATGGAAACTCCAATTCACGTGCACAAGATATTTTTCTCTCTGCAGAAGATATTAGTCCCATTCATATTTTATTAAAAAAAATTCAGACGTGATTATTCGTAACGATAAATCAAATCAATTATGAAATAAAAAGACTATTCAAGAACAACAAAACGAATTTTAACTCCTGAATCGAAAGAGTTTATTGTCAGGCAAAATCAGAAAAGAAAAAAAAAAGAGTGAAACAAGTTTTCGAAAAGAAAAAAAAAACAAGAAAGTGTGTCATGGAATTACATGATATTTTCTATAGGTCCAAGTTCCACTTATTATGATCCTCTGGAGGTGTGGAAGAACCTCCAAAAAGACTAATCTTTGGTCTTCTTTGATCTTTCCCCATTGGTAACCTCCAAAACGAATCCGAGTTCTCAAAGAAAATGTATGCAGCTACCACTGATGCAAAGAACAAGCAAAACAGCAGCGCGTAAATCTGCCACTCTGCACATCAAATCAAACAGATAGATACATATGAGTCAGAGAGAGGTATATAAACATCATATATACGCCAATTCCGATTTGCAATAGAGAGAGAGATCTGTCTGCAACAAACCTTTCCACTCCTTTGGTACACTGAGTTTGGTCACCATCTCCCCCCATTCGCTCGAAGTTGTCAGCATAACCCTACGCACCAAGTTATAACAAAGAACCAGTTAGAAATATAAACACTAATATAAATCCCAATGGTGAGACTTAAGGAGTTTGATTATCATTTATCTTTTCAATTGATTTACCATACCTTTCACTAGGGCAGAACTCAAGTGAAGCAATGGATTGACCAAGATGTAGCCTCTTACTGTAGTGGTAGATTTCCATTGTCTTAACTTCAGCAACAGACACATCTCCATCTTTCCCACCTCTACAATTGAAATGCAAGATATGAGGTTTTGAACTTTGAACAATCAGAAGCCTGAAAGCAATTATAACCAGCCCGAGATGAAGAAACACTCACAAAGCAATATATTTGCCATCCAAGCTCACTGCCAATGTTGAAGCAGTCTTCTTTGACAGCTTCTTGAAGCCAAGCTTCTTCCATGTGCTAATGTCATAAACATTGACCACAGGCGTATCACCTGATTCCAATTGTTTAGGTTTTCGTATGAGATGTTATGAATTAAAAAAAAACTAGCAATGGTTGTGATAGTTTACTCGCTAGTCATCAAATTATATACCTCTCTGAGCAGTACAGAACAAAAAAGGTTTTGTTCCATCTTTAGAAAATCGACACAGTTCAATGCTTTCATCCTACATACATGACGATATCAAAATCAGGATATATCAGAAGCCAATACAAGAAAAACTTGAAGATGTTACAGAAAAGGCAAAAAGGAGAGAGAAACACGAAAAAGACTCCCAAAACAAAGAGATCTCAGAAATATATTTCTTGGAAAACAAAAACTGAAACTCATCCATGCAGGATTTCATTGAATTTTATTAGTTAAGAAATATAGGGATGCAAATGCAAACTTTAACTCTTACTATCACATACCCCACTACGTTCCAAAGTAGACAAAGGAACACCATCTTCTCCTTTCCATACTCTAGCTGATCCATCAGTTGATGTTGTAGCTAAGAACTCTGAGTCAAGACTACAACAAAAGATGCAGATATGAGAGAGATGCATACACTCGGATTCGTTTCACAGTCGCCATTAACTTTTATTAGTGTTGTATGATCGGAGTCCCAAATCTTTACAGAAGACCATTTTTATGACCACTAGCTCAATTATGCTTTAAGTGAAAAAGGGAGGTATCATGGGAGAGAAGATTTTGGTAGGTACCTAAAATCCATATCTCGGATGGATTTGTGTGCCTTTGACTCATCCAAAATTACACGTAGGTTTGGCCACGCCATAATTCTGAGACAACCATCCTGAAATATAGCTTATAGTAAGCTACAAGAAATATTGTCGCAACAGCGAAAGAAAAAAAGCCCTTATAAAGCAGTTTTGTTCCCCTCCTTACCACTCCCCCAGTAGCTAATTTAGACCCATCAAAGCTGAAGGCCATACACTTTTGTAGTCCAGCATTTTCGAGAGGGGGGAGTTCTTTTGCTAAGATCGTAATGACTTTTGCTCCTCCGACAATTTCAAACAACCTGAAATAAAAATTTACCATCTAGACCGTAAACAAAAATTGTATAGACAATGAGACAGATAGTGTCCACAATGGTGGAAGTCATTTCCAATTCTCTAGTATGCATGAAATAGACGGAATAGTAGAGTTGCAAAAGATGGAAAGAAGAAAGGGAAGTCAAAATGTAATACAAGGGTCAATACTAGAAAGAGATCAATAATTATAAAAAGGCATGAAGATGCAGGAAAATGTCTAACAAAGGTATATGCAGATATGAGATATATAATAAACCAAACTGAACCACAATAAATTCAAGCATCACTACAAACACATCTTCATCAGCAAAGACAGGGAGTGTAAAACAGCAATACAGCTCTAATGTATCAACACAAGATCGAGAAGCTATCATAGATTTAACAATACCAGCTCAACAAAATTAGCAACTTTGTATCAAAGGCAGGCACTAGAATGTCTTTTGATTATAATTTTTGGAGGTAAAAGCGAGGTAGAAACATACTTGCAACCACCTTTGGAGGTTGAGCAAACAAAATAATCTCCAGCAGGATGCACTGAAATTGCCACAGGATCACCATCACTCTCTTTAAGCGTATGTGTTGCCTTTAGCCATAGAAAAAAGTTGTTTTGCTTTCATTAGTCGACAGAAGTAGATACCAAAACTAAAAGGATTTGTCCTGCTTTCTAGGAATCAGAAGAAAAACCCTAAATTTCTTCCATGGTTCACAAGTCCCCAAATTTCCCAATCCATAGAAACAACCTAGCTTTTCGCCCAAAACCCAATTATAAAAAAGAAATCAATGGTGTGTATGAAGAAGAATTACCAATGGAGAGGAAGAGAGAGAAGTAGTGTCGGGATCGAAAGAGAAGATGTGAAGCAGAGCAGGAGAAGAAACAGAGGAGCCACGACGTTTAGCAGCTTTGGCGATAATGGCCCAGTTTACTTTCTTCGGTCGACGAATCCATGATCCACACACAACATGCCCACTTTCACGGCTCGCTTCTTCAATCTCCATTCGATTGTTTTTTCCTTTCTGGTCTTTTACGCAAATGTAGATGGTATTTTATATATATACAAGATTGGGTTTTTTTTCTCTCCAGAGGGAAAACAAAAACAAATAAAGGAGTTGACTTTGGAAATTGGACAGAGAGATTTTTGTTGGGTATTATAATGGGATTGCAAAATCTCAGATTTGACAAAAGAAGAAACAAGCGGAGATTTGCGTTGTAGTTTTAATTAAAAATCGTGCGTCTGTTGCGATAATTACACAAGTCAAAGGACGGTAAAGGGAATTAGGAAAGGATATTCCTTTGATGCTTGTTCTTATGCCAAATTTTAATACAGCTCCGGTCACATCGTGCTTCCGCGATCTTTACCACACTTGCCCTTGCTATGTCATTGTTAATGGATACGCAATTAAACGAATATTAAATGTTGGAGAAAGGTATGTGACAAATCTTATAAAATAATATTTTCTCCGTTTTAAAATATAAATTATTTTAAATATTTTTTTTTTAAATATAAGTTATTTTGACAATCTTAGTTATTTTTTAATTTTATTGAATATTGTGTGACCGCTAGTATTTTACCGTCTTTTATGTGATTACTCAAATTATTTTTATTAAATATATCAAATCATACTTATTAGTAGAAAAATAGTTTCTTAATATCTGCGATTTTAGCTAAAACAACTTATATTTTGAAACGGAGGGAGTATGATATTTATTGAGTTGTTTGATACAAAATCATACCACTAAGCATATGCTATATGAATACATATGTGTTACGTCATATAAAGTAGCTATATAAATGTCATAAGGTAATACAGAATGTAATCTCTTCCCTGCAAAATTGTGGACAAGTCATGAGAATACGAAAGTGTGATTTGTGAAGGACAAAAACGAAAAAGTCATAGACTAGGAATTCTTTTAGAAAGCCAATCTCCTTCAAAGGTCGATGTGAAATCATGGAAATATCAATGCAATGATTAGGACATACTATGCCGGAATTCTGTTATTTTGCAAAAGTAAGGGATATTGAGGATAATATTCTAAAGTTATCAACAAAACTCGTAATTAGATGTAGCTCAGGGAGGTCATGTAACTTTGGCCAAATATACAGAATTTATAACAAAACTCGTAACACTACCCTAGTAATT